CTGTTGTTAGATTCACTCTATCAGATCCCCTGATTTTGTTTCAAGCTTTATCCACTGTAGCATTAACTGTTATACCCTTCTTCATTAGGGCACGGAACTCACAGTGCCCCCTGCCTACGCATCCTACGGCCTCTTCGCCCGCCTGGAGTGCGTGCTGTCTGGCCATGATCACTGGGTGACGGGAGTGGCGTGGACACCCCAGCCACTGACTGTTGATTCCCGTCCTCTTCTCCTCTCAGCCAGTATGGACAAGTCAGTTGTTGTATGGGAGCCTTCACACCCCCCTCTGCTAACAACAGCGGACAACGTGTCGAAGGACTCGTCTACTCCGGACCTTTGGTTAGAGAAACAACGCTATGGAACTGTTGGTGGTAACCAGCTAGGATTTCTCGACTGTGCCTGGGGCAATAGTGGCTGGGCCGTCTATGGTCATGGTTTTCAGGTGAGCCTTCGTGTGATATGCTGGTTTCACCGTCGACTCCGGTGAACTGCCTATAAGGCAGTCCTCAGCGAAGAGCATTGTACAGTCTTCATAGGGCGAGGCTTATACAATTTTGACAGGCAGTGCCGAGATATGTGTCCTGACGATGAGGTCGTACCGTTTTGTGATCGATTTTGTTTGTCGTGAGAGGCACGTCTCCTATTCCTCCGTTATCAGTGTAGGCGACTGTAAACGGACAGTCTTTTGAAGAATTAAATGTACAAGCAAACTATAATTTATCGGCTTCTCGTTAGCTGTTCAAGCGTTATCTAAAAGTGAAATTTGGCGGCATTTATAAATCTTCTAACATCCTCCGCTTCTAAAAAATAAGTGCTGAAGGCACCTATATGTAAAATTATCGAACAGCGCTCTAAAAAACGGTTTTAAAAAGCTCATCTTCTTTTTATCCTGGTCTTGTCCCCAAAACCAACTACTTCTTTGGGCATATTCATCTCTTTGCCTGCGTGTTTTAGTTGACTGTATTGCCATATAATTGTATCAACCGTATTCAATTTTATCGAAAGTAAACGTCTGTTTGCCAAATAGTTCTCTGCATAATTCTTGCAGCTGTTTTCTACTTAGTCTTTTTAAGAAGTATGTGATTGCATTGTGCATTTCTTTACATACAGGTAAGTATTTGAGTGAAATTATACAGCAACAAGCCAGAATATGCATTTTTTCCTGCAGGCGCGGATTCTAGTAAGGTCGTATTAGCGCTTTTTTTTAGAAGAACCATGTTGACCCGTCAGAAATAAAGAAGTTTTGAACTGTTTCCTTTGAATCCAATTCCTTGCAAATCCGATCTGATGTATGGTGACTTCTCTCTAGTTCGAGCTAACCACAATCGTACCTGCCCCTCAGGCTAAATGCACCGTTCTTTTATAAGTGCCCCACTTTTGTTTTTAATTATAACCGTCCATTTGGCCCTGGGCATGTTTATCCTTATCTTTTCCAGGGCAACCTCTCCTCGTGGTCTTTCAACGAAACAGGCAGTGGAACTGCTCAGTGTTCTTTGACTGGCCATGCCGGACCCATAACCGACCTTGCCTGGTCCCCCAGCAATCTCGGCAAGGACTCAAAAATCCCACTTGCTGTTGATGGCTATGATATTGAGTATCCTTTCTATCTCCTCACCGCCAGCAAGGACCAGAGTGTACGCTTACATGGACTGTTTCGAACCGATGGTTCTGGTTGTAATCCGCCTGGTAAGAGAATGCATCAAACTACTCATCCCGCTCCACATATTTTCAGGTCGTCCCCTGCTATTCAGACATCAGCATGTCTTGGTTATCCGTTTCTATTGGCTTTCACTCCAAGGGCGTTTGCGTTAACGCCCAACAGCTAGTGTTATTTTCATACCCTTCCCATCTCACCTGTCAGTCCACAGTTGGCTGAGGTACGAACCCTAGCACTTTCGGTTCTGGTTTATGTCAGAATTAGGTACTCCTTATCGGCTTTGAGATCGCCTGCGAGGGTTCTTTATTGCGACTTTTTCGCAAGACAAAACATCCATATTCCGTTTTGCACGCTAGATATATTTACAAACCTCATGCCGATGTCGCTTAGCACATTAGCCCAGACAAGTGCTCCACATGGACAAGTAATATACAGTCAATTTCAATGGCCCAATTTGTTTGGGGTTCAGTTTTCCGGTCTTCTGCACAGTGGGTTAGGGCCTGACTCAAACGTGAGGACGAATAAGCCTCAAATGTTTCATTAGAGTCGCACTCTTCCTCGGTGGTAACACATGTTGGATAATCAAGTTGCGGTAGTTTTACTGGACGAATCAACTATGCTGTAGACCGTTTTTACTCACTGATTTCCATTCTAAGACGTAGGGATAATTTCCTTGGGCATATTCTACAATGTTATGCCTATACCTCCTGAACACCTTGGTATTTGCATAATGTAGGCCTGGTGTTTTTAGATTCCGCTAATTGACTCGAATTAAGACTTTAATATAATACACCAGACTGTGCACATGGCGGCATCGATGTAATAACATAGCTTGTAGCCTCCGCGGTTGTTTATTTTTCCTGGGGCTCTTGATATTTTCTGAGTGTCCTATGCAGATCTGTTGGGCGTCTACTGTGTCAGTGGTTGTTACGATCGGTTTGCGCGCGCCCGTAAGCCAGTGGCGGAGTACGCTTGATGCTGATTAACCAACAGCGTATAACTTGACTTATTCTGGTCCTGGCTGTGGTTTTACTTTCCCCCATCAACACGGAAATCCCAGCTAGCCAAGTAAGAACAAAGACACAGCATTTCCTCTAGATAATCAAACGACCAGGCACAGACACCCCTCATGATTTCTATTTCAAGTACTTTTTTTCACTTATATGCCCTAAGCTAGGTTTACTCTGCTACCAAAGCCTATATCTCAGGTTTCTTAAAATATTAGCACCTTTAGCATTCGTTTGTTTCGCTTCAAGGGCCTGTTGAAAATCACGAGCGGCCATTATCAGATATTTGCAAATTATTGTCTGGGATTTCAACATCAAATCTGATTACTTTGACTCTTTGCAGTCGCTCGTAAGTCATGACTTTTCCTGTTACAGTGTGATTGTTAACCTAACGGCTAGGAAGGGTTAGCGCTCCCCTCACTGTTTGCCTACAATGCGAATTCTCTTCGTAAAGAAGTTATTCTGCCTCGGTTCTGCACCAGTTTTCGAATATGTACACTGTTCAGTTCTTGTTGAGACTGTCTACTTCCTTCTCAGTGCGGTTAGTTGTCGTTAAATACTTACTCTGTTTCTTTCTATCTTGGATTTTTAGTTTCAACTTGGCGCGAACTGGCTCGACCTCAAGTCCACGGCTATGACATGAATGCCCTAGCCTGTCTAGATGCGCTGCACTAC